CGATTTAAGAGTGCAATATTCTCTTGTCTGAGGGATTCTACTTCAAGATCACAAGATCGAATTTCACCTCTCAACTTTTGCTCCACCCCTGTCAGTCTAATAAGTTCCATTTGCAGTTTCCTTGTTTTATCACTGGAGGTGCACTCAACAAATTTCCTATCTAATTCATCTATGCATCCTTGTCTCAGGCCTGTAATTGTCCTTTCCTGCTCATTACATGCTGTTTGTAGTCTTGCAATCACTTTGTGCAATGCTTTATTCTCTACTTCCTTGGCCTTCAAATATTCCCGGTTGTGGTCCCTTTCCTCTACAACCTCAGCAAAACGAGCCTGCAAATCTACCGAGGAACTATGGAGTTTCTCATGCTCATTTCTGAGTTTCTCTAGATCGTCATTTAGTTTGCTGTTTTGCGTTTCCAAACTTGCAACTTTCATTGACGCTTCAGCCTTATTTGCTTCAAGAAAAGTAACTTCTCTCTGAAATGACACATTCTGCTCTGCAAGTTCTCTCACCCGTTCATGTAGTCTCTCTTCTTCAGATTGAAATCTTGATAGCCTGATAGACCAATCGTCTGACCTTCTGTCCATCTCTCTCTCCAGTGTGGTTTGTACTTCACTCTTCTCCTTCTCCAGCCTCCTAGTTCTGGTTTCCAATTCTTTATTTGTTTGTTTGTATTGCTCTTTGGCAGCAAACCTTTCTGTAACACGTGCCTTGATCTCTGAAGACAATTCATGTGCTAATTGTTTCCTATCTTCAGTCAGTTGTTGGATTAACTGAAACATGTCATTTGAGGTCAATGGTTTATCCCTGAGCATGCTGAATTCATATTCATCTCCACAAGGAATAATAAACCTTGACTCAACTTCTTTAGCTCTTTGAAGCAGCATGTCATCGGTTTCGTCTTCCGCTGATGCCAAAAAAAAAAAAAATCATCATAAAAATATTGAGAAGCATCACAAAAGCATGACCCTACAATGATAGGAGCAACGTGAAGTCATACCTAAAGTAGGACAAGTGGAGGGGCAGACAACATTTGGAAGTCTCACATCTTGCAAATCTTCATAAATATCTTCAACAGATGTTGAACTTTCTCTTTCAGAAGCTTCTGACATGCTTATGTGGCGTCTAAATGCACTGCACATAGTTGCCATCTTGTGGGTATCTCCTGTGCCCTCTTGAGCAAGTCGCCAAAGGAAGCCGTCTTTTAAGTCCACATCTGGGTAGCTCTCTGTTGTCTCTTTCATTGATTTTGGAATGGATGGTACTGTAGTCTGGGGTCGAGGTGGCCTTCCCAAATTAGAAACCATAGATGTGACAGGGGCGCCCTGTTTCTGTTTCTCATTTACCATTGCATCTTCGTGCCCTCTATCAATGTACCGATCTAGTACTTCATTCTTGTTTAATAAATTGCTAAGTCTTGTTGATCTGCATTGTATAGCAATAGGAGAGCTAACAGGAGAGTGCCCTGCTGAGCATGAACAGCATTTTGAACGAGGAGAATCATTTTCCATGGCAGAATGAGGTTTTGGGGTCTTTATTGCATATTCTCTCAAGAACGGATTCCCTTCTGGCGACCACATATCGGGACTGCAAGTTAAGATATACTGTTAAAATCATTTTTCAGATGACATGCTGAAAAAATTAGCTACCATACATATGGACTTAAAACCAAAAAAAAAAAAGAGTCTGGCCACAGAAACACTAGTAGTAAAGAGGAACTAAACAAGGGTGGATCCAAACTGAAGAACTACTTGTGTAATCTCCATTGCATCATGGTGTCATCTATCTAACGAAAAATATAAAGCATCTATTTTCTATAAACATTGGTGTCACAGGACACCATGGAACCTACTTGAACCACCTTCGAACTCAATCACAAGAATATATATTTGAGTGAAAAATGGAAGAACATAACTTGTATGCAATCAAACCCAGTATAGATCATTCATAGATGCCAGAGAAAGTCTGCATGTGCACTGAAACTGAACAATCATAAAGACGGCCTCCTTTGCAGAAAAAGATAAATAAGCATTCAGAATAATAGCTAAAACGAGTAGAGTTTGCAGATTCACATATCACGGTGTATTTGCTGAGAGCTGTCTCACTGAGTCACCAGGTCGCGGGTTCGAAGCAGCCTCTCCGCAGATTTTGCGGAGGGAAGGCTTGCCTCGGTTTTTCCCTTCCCCAGACCCCACTCATGTGGGAGCCTTCAGCGCTGGGTCTGCCCTTTATTTTTAGACACATTTCTCTTTTCTCTAGATTTTTTTTAACATGAATCAAATGGCAAATAGGCAACGGGGTCTAATAGCCAATACTCTACTATCATTTCAATCAAAGGTAAACATCTTGTATTGTAAGTAGTACGGACAGTAATTATCAGGTAGGATGACCACTTACACGGCATCTTTGGCATGGTGGGGTGCATCAGATTCATCATACAAAGAGCATGGAACATCACCCGAGAAGCTAAAGCACCGTTCATCCACACAACTGTTTCTGGCCGGGGATGAGAACGACATGGACCTCCTGAGTTGCTTGGGATTGGCTGGTTCCTCCTTGCTCCGCTTCTGACGACGGCTTCTGGATCTCGAGAATCTTGTGCTGCAGGAACCGGAACTGTCCTTTCCCTCATCTGTATTTTTATGTCTACTAGTCCTATTATCACTGATCGGTTGCTCATTTCCCTCACCAGGGTTTGCAGCAGGGGACCCAAAGAAAAAGAATCTTCTCATGTTTCAGAAGTGTCGAGGATTCACAGGTTCCTGGATTCGGGATTCCCCCACAAACTAGTCCCTGCATGGGTTGCATATTGTAGTCAGCAAAGAGAACTAACCATGAGACACATTAGATCGTAATTTGCATAGCTGAATAACAAGGCAAGACAACAAATCCTTTGTTCCGAAAAGTAAACAAAAAATATTAACAGGGGCATAGTTCCCCGTATCCTTGGCAAGGAATTGAACTCCCAACCGAAGCGCGTATGTCTACTTCTCAGTAGGTCTATCTAATAGGAAATAAGTCAAACAGGCTACACGCAAGGCCACAGGACACCAGAAAAGGCAACGATACTTGGATCCTCGATCCCAGGGGCACCGAACCGCCCAAAGACCCAACCCCTCTCAATCTATAACCAGGAGCCCCAACGGAAATTCGCTTCGCAAAACCACTCCCCGTCGATCCTCGATCCCGGAGCCACCGCCGACCCACGGACGCCCTTCCGATCCTGCACGCCCCAGCGCATCGATCGCCCAAAACCCGACGGGGGATTTCGAACCACTCCGCAGCAACTCGTACCGAAACTAAACCCCAGCGGTGATTGGATTGACGGATCGAGTAGAGGAGGAGGAGGAGGAGGGGTGGGGGCAAACCTGCAAGAATCTCAGGCGAGGCGAATCGAGTAGAGTGGAGTGGAGCCGGCGGCCGCGGCAGGGCGGTGTGGGATATGGTTGATGGGGTAGCAACGGTCGGGAGGGCAGAGGAGCATTTGATTAGCGCGCACTAATTGCGATTAACAGCTGCCCCTCTGCTGGTTTGGTTTGTTAAGGAAAGGAAAGGAAAGGAAATGGTCACCACCAGCGGAGCGCATGCGCAACACGGGAAAGAGAACGAGAGGTCCATTTTGAAATGGGAGCGGCGAAAGCGGGGTTGGTGGGCCCGTGGGGAGCGGGTTCAGGCGGGCCCTTGGTCCTCGTCTTTTCCAGTGGGCCGAGCCGTTTCCACTCGAATGGGCCTCTCAAATGCGATCTGCCTCTACATCACGCCACTCCGACGGCGGGGCCCACCGGTAGGATAGGCCCCCGTGCCACGCACAGCCACGTCTGGCGTCTGCACTTTACTCCGCCATGGCCGATTGATTTCATGGAGAGGGACGCGGACGGGTCGCCGTCGGCGCTTTGCTCTCTCCGTAGCCCACGGCAATGGCGTGGCGCCTTCCCTGCCCTCGCACTCCTCGCGTGGCGGTGGTGCCACCTTTCCACTTCCGCGTCCCCTGCTTTGCCTGTGCGAGCCGAGCGGCGCGTCCTTTCGCCTCTCACAGGGGCGGCGGCGGCGGTGAGCAGTCGATCGGGAACGGAGACGACGGCACGGCCCCGTGCGCCCGTGGGGATTTGGCGCCCTTCGCGCTCCAAGAGTCCAAGTCGCTGTCGAAACAAGGTGATTTTTAATTTATCTCCGAAAAATTGTTTTGGGTGAACTGCGTGTACTTACACTACTGGCCGTCTGGCCGTCGATTTGATCATGAGTGATGTGATGTGCATCTTCTCTCCACGCAAACGATAACTACAGGTCTATACCTCGTGGAGAGTAAGCTTGGTCGAATTTGGTACCCGGCAATGTAATTATGTAAATGATCTGCTTTTCTTTTCAATAGAACTGGCAATAGTGTCGTTTTTGGGCTGATTTGGTACAGAATTCCATCAACCACCCTAGGCACCTATAGGCTATTGCTATAGTCATGTTATCATGCACATAGAGGATGTTAAATGATGCAAGTTTTTTTTGGTTGTATTACATCTATCGAACCTTGACAAAACAAAACAAATTTCTTAAAGGAAACCTTTTTTCACCACCGACTATGCGGCTATGCCCATTTTCAATCGGACAGTTTGCTATACTACAACTTAAATGTGGACAGCAAACTTTATGTATGATATTCTTTTATGGAAAGATGGCTTCCGGTTTTGTGCCTTTGCTGTAAAAATTATGGAAAGTAGTTACTGGATGCAACTATAGTAAAATGGAAAGGATTGGTTAAGGTGAAGTGATCGGCTTGGGGTGAACGCTTTTTTGTTTCTTCTTATCTTATTAAGAAGAAAACCAGATCGTTATAAATTTAGTATATGGTCTAACTGGGAAGATTCCAAACTATTTCAGTCTTGCAGCATCAGAGACAGCAAGTCACATCACACAGACACTATCACTTGCAAATCGTTCGTTGATGGCCTCAAATTGGCATGTCCAAGTATTGTTCGTGAAGCTCTAAGTGTTGTTGCTCTTCAAAAATGGGGGTGGCACCTTCTAAGTTTGAAGATGACAAGGTCCTTGTGCTATGCCAGGAGAGGAAGCATTTTGTTAGAGAAGCGTTAGATGGAAGATGTGCACTTGCAGCTTCTCACCGCGCTTATATTCTGTCGCTGAGAGAAACCGCTTCTCTTCTGAGGAAATGTTTTGAACCTGAAGTGCTGAAAGAGTCAATCCCAAATGTTTCGCCACCTCTTTTGCCTGTCAATCATATGAGTGCTGGGAGGAACTCCATGACAGCATCCGCAAAAGTAACCGCTCAATCTTCATTCCCTGCTGCTAGAGAGGTCAGTCAGAATTTTGAAAATGCTGATGGTTTAAGGAGCCTCCGAGAGGAAGGGATCCCTGAGCACAGCGAGGGAGATGATGATTTTGCAGAGCTAGAAGATAACTTTGACAATCCATCCACTGAAACTAGGGCGCCTGTGTTCATGAACTGGAATGATGTGCTTGTTGATAATACTCACTCACCTGCACAACACGCTTCAGAAAATATTGCTTCACAAAGTACTAATTCTTGTAGTGACAACTCCAAAAATAAGAGGACAGTGATTGGGATGTCGAAGAAACCTTCCACTAACTTAGGTAACGTGGTAAAAGATTTAAATACATGCATGAAAGAGATTGAGATATTATTCTTTTGGGCATGCAATTCTGGAAAAGAAGTCCCAAGAATTCTTGAGGAAGATAAAATCCAGTTCCGCCCTCTACTACCTGAAGAAATAGGTTAGCTATCAAGTGAATAGCTTTCTGGTTATACCATTTTCCAAGTTTCTCTTACCCTCTGTGATAGAATTAATGTTAAACTAAAAAGTAAATTTCTGCAGCACATGGATCAAAGCCAACAACAAGTTTTCTGGCAACACTGTTTGCTTGCTGCAGATAGGATGTCACTGTTCCTGAATGTAAGTTAATTTTGCCTGAAACTATTAGTTTGACTCCCCCCCCCCCCTTTCAACGAAGGCTTTTGCTATTCCTGTGTTACAAATATAAATGCAAAAGGTTTCTTTTAGGGAGTAATTGTAATGTGATATTATTCTACATTTATTACAGCTATTAGCATTTTGGTTTCTACTATTGAATAGAATACTTGGCCTTCCAACTGTACAAATAATGTGATGCACCATGGTTTAATGCAGCGCCTCCTCAAGCCGAGATAAAGTACCTTACCTGGCATAGATCAGTGTCTTCACAATTGTCACCATCTAGAAATTCTCTTGGGATTAATGCTGGCAGCCATATCTCCACACTTGATAGGTTGTATGCATGGAGAGCAAACTTTATGAAGAAGTTAAGGTAGCAGCTCCTTTCTGGATGTTGTACAGTATTAATCAATTTTATATGTGTTCCAGAATCAGAGTTTGAGATTCCTAGAAGTAATCTGTCTTGTTCTGCTTTCAGGCTAGCAGCGCAATCTGCAGGAGGTATGATGTGAGATGCAAGAAACTGAGACACCAGGAATCAAGAGGGGGAAATCAAATTGATATTGATTTTACCCGTGCTTCTGTGAAGGACTTGCATTCCAGAGTTCTAGTGGCTGTTCACAAAATAGGCTTCATTTCTAAGAAAATACAAGATGTAAGGGATAAATATCTTCAACCACAGCTGGATGAACTAATTGGATGGTATGTCTCTGTCTGTATCATTGTCTACCGGTGTATGCAAAAACATGCTGTTCCTGTGCATTATAACATGACATATAGATGTGTTAGTCGTCATAACAAGATATGTTTCACATTATCTTAAAAGAATGTGCACTATCGCAATAGGCAATGTGCATTTATTTATATGTTTATATACTGACTGATTGCTGTGCTCATCTGATAGAGAATCTCTTCTCCCTGCAGTTTCACTAGGATGTGGGGTACAATGCTTGAGTGCCATCAGTGCCAATGTGCGATAATCAAGTTAGCATCCAGAAGCTGCGGCCTGAAAATATCATTTCAGTCAGAATCTCAACACCAGGCTGGGTTTCTCCTCTCGGTTGAGCTGAGAAAACTATGTTCCAACTTCCAGAACTGGATGGCATCCCAAAAGGCGTACCTCTGCAGCCTAAACATGTGGTTACACAAATGCATGAAACCCCTGATGAGGAGGAAGGTTTCCAGGATCCGGAACGCCGTTGATGCTTCGCTAACGGAGACTGCTATCGCGCCAATCTTCACAACCTGCGAAATGTGGATAAAGCTTCTCGATGATTTACCAACCACGGACTTAGAAGAAGCCATCGAAGGTCTCATTGCAGACATAAGCCGCTCCATTCCTCACAAAGAGAAGGTGCCAAATGACGAAGCAGGGGGAGCAAGTCATGGCCCGACTGATCTGCACCCGAGTCTGTTGAGATTCATAGAGAAGCTCAAAGCCTTCTCAGAAACCTCAGTTGAGAAGTATATCGATCTGCAGGAAAACGTCAGGGCCGCAAAGGAGAGGATTTGGATAAGAAAATAATGAATACAAATAGCTCTTATTAGTGAAGTGAACTCTGGACAGTACTTCAGTATCCGTATAGAGTTGGCTAAGTAGATGTTCCTAGTGTAAATTCAAACTACTGCTATGTTAGTACCGATTTGTGTCAAGAGGAATTGCAGACAGCAGACAGGATGTGAGGACAGGTGGGCTAAAGTGGTGACGTAAATAAATATAGTTTATGTAGGAGTAATAAGCTGTGCTGATATATGTTCGCTCTTCGCTGCAGTCAAATTCCAGAAGCGATTCAGTGAGAAGTATGATTGTATATGCACTGGAAATAAAGCTGTGTCCCAATCTTCCGGTTTGACTTTTTGGTGGCACTCTTGAATCTTTTTGACATGATTCCGTGGCTGTCCCCCCTCAACCCAATCCTTGCAGTGTTGCTATATACGAGTTGAGGCTACCAGTCTGTTCGCTTGTTGGTTTCAATCATGGCTTATCAGCCAGCTAATAGTGTTTTTCTCTCACAACAAACCAGCACCAGCCGGGCTTATCAACCCAGAAACCAATCAGCAAACAGGTTGTACGACTCTTCTCTCTCTGTGTGTGTGATGGATGTTGGCGTTGAGACTTGGTTGGTCAACAAACAGTAGTAGTAAATGTCGTCTGCTGATTCTTCGTTTTAGACGGGAAAAAGGTAGAAATTCAAAGGTGTACGAGTAGAAATTCTACTCGTTGACATTTGGGGGGTGTCCGTGGCAACCAAAATGACAGAGCATACTAGACGCTGAAACGTTCAACCAGTTGACAGAGGAGGAAAGCTATACGTGGCCAAAGAAAGCAGTTGTGGTTCTGGCAGTTTTAAATGGACGGAATCAACGGGCGCATCGATCTGATCCGACCTCCGGGAAACGGACAGGCAGGTCCGCCAGAACCAGAACCAGATTCCTGCCTGCCGATAGCAACAAGCTCAAGCTCTGCTCCCAAAAGTCAAAAGCCATTGCACGCACCATGATGCTGATGCCACCTCCTTTGCTTCTCGTGCCGCCTGTTTGTCGCCTCGCCTCGGCGGCCTCAATGGTCAATGCTGCAGGCAACAGGCAGCCATCAACTCTGCATGTTTGGATCAAACCCCAAAGAAAGAAGAAGAGTTCAAAACTTTTGTCTTTTTTCATCACAGATCGCTAGGCGATGCTGCCAAGCCGATGTGCAATGCTGCGATCAGTAATACTATTATAATGCATGGGAGAGTATAATGTCTGAAATCTGAATTAAGGCCCTGTTTAAATCTAGGGTATAAAGTTTGGAGGTGTCACATCGGGTGTGTGTCGCATGGGGTGTTCGAATACTAATAAAAAAATAAATTACAGAATCCATCAGTAATCCGCGAGACGAATTTATTAAGCCTAATTAATTCGTCATTAGCACATGTGTTACTGTAGCACCGCGTTGTCAAATCATAGATTAGTTAGGCTTAAAAGATTCGTCTCGCAAATTAGTCACAAACTGTGTAATTAATTATTTTTAAGTCTGTATTTAATACTCTATGCATATGTCCAACATTCGAGGGATAGAAGTAAACAAGGCCTAAACCGGAGGGCAGATGTCATGCAGAAAACAAAAAGAGTAAAGCTCTGGTTGTAGGGCAGAATCTGAAATTCAGAAACCGTGTAGCCGGACCTCTCTGATATTCTGACTGCACTACAGTGAGGAGGACATGGGCCAGCCGCCAGCGCAAGGCATTGACCTACTATGAAGATAGATAGATAGGATAGGGATGTTCCCGGTACATCCATGCAGTATTACAATTGGTACAGCAAATGCTACATGTCAAAGGGAACAATGAAGAGACAAGTAATAAGGAGATGGTCCAAGCTCAAACACTTGTTTACTAATCGTCGTCCCAGGGGCCACGGCATCCTTTTCATTTCCGGCGGCATGGTTCGGTAATGGTAGGTACACTTATTTTATACTACTACTTAAGTATGTAGGAGTATTGTATTGTGTCCACCTATAGAAATAGAAATGTATATATACATATACTTGTATATATTCTGAAGAAGTGCAGCGCTAGCCAACTTCTTGCTAGGATGAGGAGGATATTCTGAAACTTGTTTAAGATGAGAGTATCAGAGAATGGTAGTATATACGTATATACTAGTGGGTGAGTATGAAAATGAACTAGTGGATCAGGGAGCAGGTGTAGCAACTAGCAAGTCAAGCAGGCGTAGTATCACATGAAGAAGTAGTAGTTTTATATGGGGGAATGGGATGGGATGTGTATGGGCCATGCATGTGGACTCTAGCTACCACAACAGGCTGATGCCATCATGCCCTCACAGCCTCGTCACTTCTGAAGCTACTGTAGCTGTGTAGCTCCCTACGAAAGGGTCAAGAGCTGACCAGTTTTCAGCGGACAACGTTGAAACGGTTTCAAGCCGAAGCCAGCAGCAGAACTAGACAGTCGCTGTGTGCTATTGCTATGCTAGGACCTAGGTGGGAGGCTGCGCCATTTCCCCATGTCAAAGATGCATTCTCTGGGGGTATACCCACTCGATGAGGTTAATATTAGCGGGTGTTTGGTTACTTCTCCTAAACTTTAGTCATTTTCCCATCAAATGTTTGACACAGTTTGCTAATTACATAGTTTGCGACTAATTTGTGAGATGAATCTTTTAAGCCTAATTAGTCCATGATTTGACAATGTGGTGCTACAGTAAACATATACTAATAATGGATTAATTAGGCTTAATAAATTCATTTAGTGGAGTACTGACGGATTCTGTAATTTGTTTTTTATTAGTATCCGAACACCCCATGCGACACCCTCATGTAACACCACCTAAATTTTAGTCATTGGATCCAAACACCTCCTTACTACTGCATTCTGGATGATAGGTCACTGAAGAGATTAATACTTTTGAGATCATATCAAACAACCTAGCAGCATGTTTGCTTGGTCGTGTTTGGCTTATAAGCCATGACTTATCAGCCAACGAACAATATTTTTCTCTCATACCAAATCAACCAACAGTATTTCCAGTCATGGCTTATAAGCCAAACATTAGGCTTCAGCTTTGCAGCTGGCACTGACATTGACCTCTGTTGGCATTGGCGATGCAAGAATTCCAACACCCATCCATCCATCTGACCAGCAATTAAGACAGTGGAATTATACATCTAGTGGTAAGCGATGAGTATATATAATGGAGTGGTTGACGGACCAACAAGCAAAAATGGCACGCAAAAGTCTTCCAGGGCACTCAATCACAAGGGAATGCCGAATGCCTCAGCCTTCATGGGATGTTCTGGATCGATTACCGTAAACTAATCCAAGGACCATGCATGCATGCGATGCAATAATCCTAGGCCAGTGGACTTGAAACTGCAAGTATATAATATTTATATATATACACGCTCCCAACGCAACTAGGCGTACGTACTAGTGTATAATATATGTCGGTATTGACCACTGCTAGGTGGTGGTTCCAGTAGTTTAATAATAGGTCCGTTTGGTACAGCTCTGCTTCACTATATAAGCTATTTTTTTTTACAAAATAGCTTTATGAGTAATTTTTTTTTTGTTGAGGCTGAATTGTTTTGGAACAAGTGTTTGGTAAAATAGCTTTACATGGTGGAACAATAAATAGAATGATTATAATATGGGAGATGAAGCTAGAATAAGCTATTTTTTTTAGCTTCCTCCCAACTTATATCTTTGTGAGAGAAGAAGAAGCAACTATTTTAAAAATAAACGTTTGACAAAACAAACAGGCCATGAAGCTGTCGTGAGCTACGCCAAACTTACCCCGCTACTACTAACCGGAGTGGTTGGCTGACGCTGAATTGCTGGTGGCCTGGTGGGTTTTCAACGCTGACAAACGTCGGAACGCGTCAAACTTGTTCAGTTGTTTTGCCTGTGTCGTCGTGCAGAGTGATGAGCAAGCGTCCATCAGGATGATCAGGGCATCAGGCCATCATGCATGTGCTCCTAGCTTGTCCCTGTGCGCTGCCACGCTGTGGCGCTTTGCTTTGCTGCTGCAGACGCGTTGCTGGTCCTCTACATGTAGTACCTGTACACGTCTGCGTCTTGAGAGTTCAGACTGGATCGAGTTGCTGCTGCTGGTTTTGCTTGCGGTGTGTTTGTGTGTGTGGGGGTTCAGAAACATGCAGCAGGCGCCGTGGAAGATCAGAAACATGCAGTATCGAGTTTGAATTTGGGCTACCGTAGCACTTTCGTTTTTATTTATCAATTAGTGTTCAATTATGAACTAATGAAGCTCAAAACGTTAAATCCGTAATTTCCCATCAAACCGCAATTAGTTTTGTTTCTAAATCTACATTTAATGCTACATACACGTATCGTAAGATTCGATGTGATGGATACTGTAGCACTTTTTTAGAATTTAGAGGGGAACTAAACACGGGCTAAGTTTGAGCAGCGTCACCTCCCGTCGTCGGCGATGCATGACTTTGACCTCGCCCATCACATTCGGACGCTTTGACTAAATATATACAAGAAAATATTAATATCTGCAATACACAACTATTATTGTTAGATAGATCATAATAAACTTATTTGAAGAAACAAATGTTGCTAATATTTTTCATAAACCTAGTCAAACTTAAAAAAAAAGTTTGATCGGTACAAATACCATATAGCAACCCTTATTTAGGGACAGAGGGAGTAAGCTGGTAGTCTATGTAAAGGATAGAAAGTTTGGTTCCCCGTTTGCCAAGATGGATAGGTGTGGATTCACATTAACCTTCCCTGTCCAGCAAATTCTTGTCTTCATCAAGCAAGGGGCAGACCGACCGGTGGATTGATGCCGGGGGCTCTAGGCTAGGTAGCTTAACTCGTGAGCAATCGTCTTAGTCCTGTCTTATGCTAGGGAGGCCAGCGCTCATTGTAAAACAACACCCCATCCCTAGTGCACCGCGGCCGTGGTGCGTCGTTGTAACTCCAAACTTTTCTTGATTTGAAGAAAAAAGCATTAACCTCATCTTTTTTGACCCCACAATACAAAAGGCACGATGGAATCACCACGGCCAAGGTAGTAGACTCCGATGACATTGAGAGTAACCAGGCCCCGGGAAGGGGAGGAGTGAATCCAGATAGTTGGGCTGTCGTTTTCGCTGGGTTAGAGTGGAAAATCTCGCATTGTTTGGAGCGAGTAGAGTAACCCATTGATTCACTGGCGGTGGAAAAGGCTAGGCTCGTGGACGCAGCATCTCCTCCTCCGTCGCCGTCGGCGAAGGCGGGAGCGACGGGAACAGACTAGAGAGAGGAGAGGAGAGACCCGGGCGGGGCCTGCGTGGTGAAAAGTTGCCTGCGCACCGCAGCGCAACCAGAGAAGAGGATGGCGACGATGACGACGGCCGCGCCCAGATTCTGGGTGAACAAAGGCCACGGATCCGATCGTCCATGTTATTAAGAAAAAAAAGAAAAAAGATTGATGTCTGGTTTCTGATTCTCTGATGATTGTGAACGGAATGGGAATTGTTCTAGTTTCTAGAAGAAATCCGATAAATACATGTATATATGGATGGTGAGTCGGTTCCAGAGTAGCAAATGGAGTACAGCATCTGCACTGCACTACACCCGAGAGGGAGGAGAGAGGAGTGGGTGAGCAGAGTGCTAGACATCAAATCAAATCTAGTGAGTGAGGTGGGGAGGAGAGGCGATGTGATTCCTGCCTGGGCTTTTGTTACCAAATTGAGGTGCGCAGGAGATCTGTCGTCGGCAGAGGAGATCCCCGGCGAGAGCGACGCCCAGCCCACCTCCCCGATATGATTCCCGGCGACCGCTGGCCGGTTGCATTGGAGTGGATTGGATTTGATTCACCTGCACCTGCACCTGCGCGAATTGACCGCACAGCGTGTGCATGGCAACTTTGCCGTCGGTCGGTCGGGTCGACCACAGTTGGCAGGCCAGTCAACCTCCCCGCGTGCCTCGCCTCCGAAAAGCGTCGCACGGCATGCACATGCTTGGCCATTGCGCGGCGCGCCGCGCGGGGTGGCACACCACGCCACAGTCCACACACACCGCACGCCGCCTGACGCCGTGCGCGGCCGCGCCGAGCAGGCTGCGGTGCAGTCGTTGATGCTAGGCTCCGTCGCGGGCGCGGTGGCGGTGGCCTCCGACACCCAGACAAAACCAACCAAAGCGCGAGGCGGGGCCTCACCCTCACGCACGCCGACGGCCCCCACGCGGTTTCCCCCGTCCCCATCGTCATCCCTCGGCTCCCCCTATAAAGTCAGCTCCACTCCACCACTCGCCTCCCCCCTCCACTTCTACTCGATCGCCGCCTCCTCATACACATACACCCCGGCGCCATTCCCTCCCTCCCTCCCCCCCGTCCCGTCGCTGTACTGCACTCACACTAGCAACTGGCTTTCGTTTTCAGCTCAGCTCAGCTCCACCAATCAAACCAAGGTCCATCCAAACGTCAGAAAACACTAACAACCAACATGGACGCCATCTCCTGCCTGACGCCGCCGCCGGCCGCGCTGCTGGCGACCTCCTACACGGACGCCGCCATCGCGCGGGCGCTCCACTTCTCCACCACCACCACCATGTCGCCCGACTCCTCCGCCTCCTCCCTCTCCCACCACCACCACTCGCCCCTGCTCAGCGCCCTCGCCGACCTCCCGTCGCCCTACTACGTTCCGCCTCCGGTGCCACCGCACGCCGTCGCCGCCACCTGCTGCGACTCCGTGCTGGTGTCCGACTCGCCGCGCCGCCGCTCCTCGCCGCCGGCGGAGCGCGCGCGGGAAGCGCCGGTCGCGGGCGTCCAAGCGCGCCCACCACCTACATCAGCACCGACCCCGCCAACTTCCGCCTCGTGGTGCAGCAGATCACCGGCGTGCAGGCGGACGCGTCGTCGGCCGGCGATGACGTGTCCGGAGTGGAGGTGATGATGCTCCAGATGCAGGCGACCGCGACGCTCGACGCAGCCGCGCTGCTGGCCGCCGCCGCCGCCGGGAACCCGCAGCTGCTGCCGGCGGGCGACGAGGCGTCGGCGCTTCGTCAGCACCAGCACCAGCTCCAGCAGCAGCAGCCGTGCTTCCCCACGCTGGACTCGTGGAACGTCATGTACGAGACCAACAGCGCGGAGATGCTGTGACTGCGAGGGAGCCGGCGGACCAGAGCGGCGGCGGCTGGCGTCGACCGGGGGATTTATTTATATTACTCTCATGCGTGCATGGCAGCATGAGCATGCATTGCCGGCCGCCGGCGGCCACCAACGTAGATGCATGGGCGGATCGACTGCTGATCTAGCTAGTACGACTTGCGTACAAGGAAGATGGATCGAGGAGAAGGAACAAGCTACAAGCCTAGTATAGATAGCGTATCATCTGTTGTACAGCATGCATGCATCCACGCACCTGTCTGCAGTGTCGAAACGTAGTAATAGCTCCAGATTACCTGATTTTGAATACAGTTCCAACAACAGCTAAGGATTTCTCTGGCCCAATCCACGTAGGTTATTGTTTGTAGGGATTGACATGAAAGCTATTTTCTACTTTACGACTTATTTAATTTGGCAGCACCCTTGACTCACCCATATATATGCACATGCACATGGTCATGAAAGTGATCGATGAAGGCAGATTAAAATGTAGTCAAACAAGTCCTTAATCTCTTGCGATCTATGTAGATTGTGGTGAATTAGAGTGCAGCTAAACGATCGTTGGGTGCGGAGACAGTGGGAGAGCTAGGGTGAGGTCGGCTACCTAGAACCCTTAAGTTCGTATAGTTTGCACAGTTTTTTTTTTTTTGTCCTTCCAAATTTGAATAAATTTCTGAACAAAATATATAACGTTGATTCCCAAACGAAGAAGAAATCGCATTCTGCCGGAGGAGACAACGATCGTGGGGCGGCGCCGGCGGGGATTGAGAGCTGCTCCATCTGTCAACATGTGTACAGTGTACAGTCAGTACTACGTGGTCCAGTCCATCCCGCCCGTTGTAATCTGTTTCTACCGGGCCTTGATGAAGAGCTTTCCGGCCCAACGGGCTATATAGCCATATCATGGGAAGGCCTTCCGGTCCAGAGCCATCCATACGCATGACTGAGATGGATCATTCCGAGCAGTCAGCTGTGCATTTTTTCTCTCTCGAAAAGGGTATTCTGACAGTCTTCTGATGCTCGCCAGAAATTGAAGGCAGCAAGAGCCATCCATACCGTACATAGTTCAGCTAGAATGTACAGTTTTTTCTCTCACAGTAAAATAGGTTCAACCGGTTTTAATACCAGTCGAACACACCCACAGTCGTGCTTGTCATGTCAGCAGCTGCATTTGCATGCATGATGCACCACCTCCTGCTTTCTCAGTTTGGTCTCGAACGGACGGGTCCCATTCCCGATTCCCCTCACCACAGAAAATGGAAATTTCTTTTTTTTTAAGAAGAAGCTCAGATCGGCCCCGCGCCGACGGGTCCCATGCGACAGACAGACAGTACTCAGGAAGGCCACTCCCACCCACGCGGACGGCGAAGGCCAGGCAAGCCACACCTCCTCCCCAACGGGCACGCACTCACCTGGCTGGTTGGCTTCCCCCTCCGTCTCTCTCTCTCTCTCTCCTCCCAACCCAACTCTCCCATGCCGTCGCCCCGCGGCCGTTACGGCCGCCGCCGGCGAGCGTGCGGGGCTTCCTGGACGCGCACTTCGCCTCCCCGACGACCTCGCGGCCGCGCCGGCGCTCGCGGAGCTCCTGCGCCGCGAGTGCGCCGGGCTCGACGCCTCGCTCCGCCGCGCCGAGGCGCGCCTCGCTGCCGCGGCCGCGTCCTGGCTCGCGCGCGCTCCGCCGAGGCCCGCGCCGACCTCCGCCGCGTCCGGTCACGAGGTTCGTTCGCGCATTCGCTCCCGTCAACAGTAGTGAACCCTAGCTGCTGGTTGGGGTTTTAGTCCAGGTGCCGCGGGGCGCTGAGGCTGCCCGTCCCTCCACACTCCAGACTCCACTGCTGATCCGGCTCGGGTTCCTCTTTGTTTCCTAGGGGTGCGCGTCGGCGCGGAGGACGAGGGCGCCGAGGCGGCGAGGACGGTGGGGCTGCCGGCGCTCGTGCGGGAGATCCAACGGATCGACACCATCCGGCTCTACGCGGGTCAGCATCTCTTCCTCCTATTGATGTGGACGTTTACATGGTGGCATGTGCAAATACAATGTGACTGGTCGTAGATTACACACGAAATTGGTTTGCTAACTGATGGTTACGGAGCTAGGCCATATGAGTGTGTTCTGGAGATGGTTACGGAGCTACGCCATATGAGTGTGTTCTGGAGCCTGCGTTATAGTTACATTGTTGCTGCGCGATGTAGCTTTTGGTAACTTAATACGTGATTTATTTTCTGCAACAGTATAGTCTGGTGTTCCTTTTTGTGTCAGTGGTTTGTCAGCGCTGAAAATATCCATATCACTGACCTTCTACAGCACTGGGAAATGTAGTCCTCATGATTGCGTTGAATGTAGAAGCTTCTGTGTTGGTTTCAGTACCAGTCTATGAACTACGATACCCTGCCCATGAAGGTTCGGGCCACATAAACAAGTATATCATAAGTTTGTAACCGAGTCCATTGACATTATCTGAATAATAAATGTCTTCTGCGCAGTTTCAAACTTGCTGTACCAATTCATAGTTCAATTTTGATTTCATTTCCCCTCCGCATCAAAATCTGCTCACCTTTGCTATTTGCCACGAGATGAGTTCTGTTGGCTGCTATTGTTTGTTACTATATCTTCTTTGAGACCTCTAGCTCTGTATGGTGTAGGAATGTATGGTGCTTTCTGTAACTTTGCTATGCTGACATTCCAGAAGCTACTCTACAGTTGGAAGCTTTGGTTGGCAACCTGGAAGATGTGGCATTTTCCATCGTTAGGCAGGCCCCGAAGTTCAACCTATCATCCATACTTCGAAAATCAAATGTGAGACCCTTTGTCTTTCTTTCACTTCATCTGTTGCTGCAGATGCAGCTGATAAAATGTCATTCAGCAATTAGTTTGCAAACTAAGGATGACATCCTTATTCTCTGTCAAATGTAGGAAACAAAATGGAAGCAAGGAAGCTGCTCCATGCTGTCGATGCTGTGAGGGATATTGAGCGAGAATTAGTACGGATCAGCACTAGTAGGCCACAGTGGACCAACCTTGTCATGGCTGTTGATTCTAGAGTGGACAAAACTCTTTCCATTTTGAGGCCTCAAGCCCTCACGGATTATCGGGCTCTACTAGCATCATTGGGCTGGCCACCTTCATTGTCTTCACAAGACACAGAGAACCAAATTCCGAATCCTCTAGTCTTGATGAACAAGGAAAATAAAGAGAGATACTCTCAAAGCTTCCAAGCACTATGTGCTCTCCAACATGTGCAGGGAAACCGTGAATTACGCCTGTGTCAAACAGCAGAAGTGACTCCTGCCCTGGCAGATTTGAAGTACTTCAATAGAACTGCTTGCTTTGACAATGGGCTTTGGGCGATCGATGAATTAGTTCACCCTATTGCTTCAAGGATGGAATATCATTTTGCTAAATGGTCTGAACAGCCAGAGTTCATTTTTACCCTTGTTTACAAGATAACAAAGGATTTCATGGATGGGGTGGATGATGTACTGCAGCCTTTGATTGATCAAGCAAGACTAGTGGGATTAAGTGCCAAGGAATCTTGGGTAACTGGAATGGTGAAAATGCTTGTAGGATACCTTGAACGTCAGATTTTCCCAGCACTTGTCTGCTCTTATCAGGATCATGCTACTGTTGGCAAACCTGAAGTAGATTCCTCTTGGATGCACTTAAATGATGTAATGATTTCTTTTGATAAAAGAATGCAGCTTCTAGCGGATTCAGGAATCCAGAAAATTGCATCTCTTTCTGAAGGTCTGTCTAGGTCCTTATCTGCCTTTTCAATATATACTGAGCACCCTGATTGGCTTCAGATATGGGCTGATGTTGAGCTTAGTTCAGCACAGGATAAGCTGAAATCTGAAATGGAAGATGAGACAAATTGGTCATGTAGTGGTCAGCATGACCAGCTTGGTCACATGGAAAATTCAATGAAGTTTCTTCTCTCTACAAGAGAAGACTACAAAGCTCCTCCGGTGTGTGAATTTGTTATCAAAACTGCTTTGTCAATGGTTGAAAGAGGCCGTGCTCTGCCAAACAGGGGAATGCAGATCCAGTATAACAGATCCTCTTCAGTTAGGTTCCTGAATGACTTTTTTCTTGTCTTGCGTGAACGATGCGAAGCATTGCAATTGTCGAATACGGCATTAGAAGATCAGTCTTTGTCAAAAACTTCGTGTGCAATCAACGCCGCTCGTTACTGCGAGAATGTGCTTCGGGAATGGGATGAAGATACTACCTTTTTGGATATGGGTCCTCAAGGATCTCTGTTTACAGATGAAATCAGCTTTTTAGTTAAATTAGGGACCAATTACCTGGAACAGATACTATCTTCGGTTCTGCTTGAGTTTGAAGATCTGTCCTGGGAATATGTCCAGAACATTGGATCATGGAGTGGACAGACCATCTTAGATGATCAGACCCTGGATGAAGAAAATGCAGGAGTATCTCCTGGTTTTGTTGCCAGTCTAGATGTTCTGACAGACAGGACCACTAAGTTGAAGCGATATCTTAATTCCAAGGATTTCCTTGATCTTTGGAGGAGTATAGCGGAAGGCCTCGACTACTTCATCTACAGCAGCATACGATGGGGTGAAGTAAGTTTCTCTGATCCTGGAGCCATCCAGCTAAGAGTTGATACAAAAGCCCTTCTCCACATCTTTAGGCCCTTCTGTTCAAGACCTGAAGCTTTTCTCCCTTTTCTAAGTGAATCCCTGAAGTTGTTGACCGTGAAAAGGTCAGATGCACAGTGCTTGCTGGAAATGCTAATGGATGACACGAAGAGTGACAATTGCCTAAAGCATCAAGGATTGCACCATGTAAATGCTAGCCAGGCTGCAAAGATCTTAAGCAGCAGGAAGTTTTGTGGATAATCTTGTTTGTACAAAGTGTAGCTGAGAATGACCTTCAGCGAAGCTTGATGTGAAAACTTTATACTTGGAGATTAACAATTCCAGGCCACAACAAAGACAGGTGCATATATGGCACGCAACAGTGCTTTCCAAGG